CCACTGGGTTGGTCATCTTCCGTGGTGTGAAGGCCCTTGTGTGTATCTGCGGCTGTTGTGCAGCTGCTGCCTCAGGGATGGGTGCATGATAATAGAGGCCAGTTTTCCATCTCCTCACCAGAACATATCATGCTATCCACCTCTAGGTCCCATAACCACAGCAGCCAAGCAGCTAAGGGCTCCCCCTGTTTCTGCCAGAACTGTCTCCCTAAATCAACTAATTCAACCTGGGTATATGGGACATAGGCAGTGAATTCACTCACCTGTGGGTCACCCTCCGGTTGTCCACCTGGTCCTATAGACTGCTTGTGTTTCAGTCTCTGGTGCACAACAGGTTGTGCCTGGAGACACAAAGTCTCCCTTAACTCATCACTGGGTTTGTCGTTCTTCCAGGTGGGAGAGGCAGGGGTGCCCAGCTGCAGCATGTCATCCTCCAGACAGATTATCCATGCTTCCAACAGCTCTGCTTTCTTCTTTAAATCTCAAACAGTTTGTATCATAGTGAGCAGTAGGCAGGCTTCAGTCAGCAGAAAAGTGGCCACCGGGCACCATATGCTCAAGGAGAGCCACATTTCCTCCCACTCCCAAGGGGCTCTCTGGGGCCACACTACTTCATGGAGTGCCTGGTCTATGCTGACTTGTAGTATAGTGAGCAGCAACCAGATCCCAGTCAACAGGTAAGTGGCCAGAGGGCACAACATATTCAGGAGTAGCCACATTTCCTTCCTCTCCAAGGGGCTTTTGGCTCCTGTACCTGCTCAAATATCCTGCTATGCCAATTGTAAAGCTAGGGCTTACAGACCCCTCAAGTCTGTTGCACAGATTGGGTTACAAGCCCTCCACACGCAGGTCTGTGAGCTAAGTAATAGGGAAAAAAAGGTTCTGGGAGCCGTGGGTATAGAAAAATAAATGGGTTTTATTCAGATCTAGGAGCAACTGTCCTAGCGGCTTCTCTGAGAGTTCTGAGAAGCACTGTGGATCAGAGCTGTTAGTCTTTTATACTTAAGTCCACTACCCTGGACATCTGGGTGCCCATGCACAAATTACAATGGGTATGGAATTGGGGACTGGGCCCCCTCCCCCCCACAACCAGGCACACCGTGCCAGCACCTTGGGGCCTGCCCTGTGAGCCAGGGCATGGAGAAGGGGATGGGATCCCCCTCCTACCATCAGGCACACTGCACCAGTGCCTTGGGACCCGCCATGGAACTGAGGCATGGACAAGGGGAACGAAACCACCTCCCACAATCAGGCACACTGCGCCAGTGCCTCGGGGCATGCCTAGGGACCCAGGGTAGGAGCTGGGGACCGGACCTCCCTCCCACAACCAGGCACACCATGCCAGCACCTTGGGACTCACTCAGGGACCCGGGGCATGGAACCAGGGATTGGACACTCTGCACAACCAGGCACACCGCCAGCACCACAGAGCAGGCCAAAAATATCTCCTCCATGTGGGTGGCCCACCACAGCCACCATGATAATGATGGCTAGATAAAGGTGGCTAGATGCCACAACCACCATGCAGATTGTCCGCCAGCCACTGGAGTGAGTTGACACAAGGAGAGTCACCAGCAGAGATAAAGAAAGGAGGAGGACATCTGTCTCCACGGAGCCCATTTCATAGTGACGGAAGAGACATCAGCTTTACAATAGTATTGGAGGACCTGATCATGCCTCTCAAAGTTGGACAGATCATTTGGGCAGCAAATCAACAGAGTAACCATTATTCTTTCAGAGGGAGAGAAGAAATCTAGGGTGATTAGAGGGCGGAAAGGGAAGGGTGTGGGGGATGGGGTGGGACTGGACAAGGGGCATAAAGAATAATTACAATTTGTAACAATATATATGCTAGTAATATCGATTTGATCAACATATCTCAATGTTGAACCCCAAAAATATGTATAATCAATTTTTTTTTCCTTTTTGTCTTTTTTCGTTTCCGGCAACGGATCGCAACCCTCAGTGTCGCGCCCGTACCGGACCGAGACCGGCAACGGGATCGCAACCCTCGGTGTTGCGCCCGCATCTCGCTCAGCCAGTGAGCAGCCCGTCTGTATGTGGGATCCAAACCCTTGGCGGGAGCATCGCCGCACTCCCAAGCGGCACACTGTAGCAGTGCGCCACCGGGCCAGCCCCTGTATAATCAATTTTGATTCAATAAAAATTTTTTTAAAAAATCCTAATAGATTAGAATCCTAGTTCTCCCATTTTCTAGATAATGACCAAGTGTAAAACAAAGCCACTTAATTTACTTCATTTATAAAACAGAAATAATATCATCTATCTACTCTTTAGGGGTTTTGTAAGGCTTCTAAATAATATTAAATGTTTACAGTACACTGTAGGAGGCTGTCCGGTTACTCAGTTGGTTAGGGTGTGGTGTTGTAACAGCGAGGTGGAGGGTGCAGATCCCCGTACCAGCCAGACACCAAAAAACAAACAAAAAATAGAGTACATAGTAGGAGCTCTATAAATGAAATCCATCTGACAATTAAAGGTGTTTATAAGTGCTCATCCGAAAAACAGTTCACCACATTTTTATTGGACAGTACTTTTTCTCTTTATTACCATTTCTTAAATCAGCCACACTTGGAGGAAGCAATCAGGAGATAGAAAATGTACAGTTAGTATCTAAATTATTCTCAAAGTTCACGTGTAACCACAAACAGATCCACTTAAGTTTATTTAATTATCCCCCTAGGAACTAATGCACCATGTTAATGCATACAAACACAAATATACAAGGATACCTCAAAAAGTTTGTGGAAAAATGGAATTAAAAGAAAATATGAATCTTTACATGAATTTTTTATGTACCGTCAAATTAATATATTTATACAAATTAATGTAAAGCATGCAAGGACATGGAATATGCTCATTCTCTTGTATTTCTGATAATTTCTTCTCCTTTTTCTCTCTCTTCCTTTCTTCCTCTTCTTTTCTTTCTTCCCATTTCCTCCCATTCCTTAGGGATTCAGGCTCTCTTCTCTACTTTTTTTTTTTTTTAATCAAGGAAAATTCAACCATCCCTATGCAAATGTCTCTCAAAGGTCTATAATCTGGTCAGTATCTTTTTCCAGAAATACAGACCTGCTTTTCAAATACGTGTTTAGGTGCTGGCCAGTTAGCTCAGTTGGTCAGAGCAAGGTGTTGATAACACCAAGGTGAAGAGTTCAGATCCCTGTACCTCCCCGTACCAGACAGCCACAGAAAAAAGGAAAAAAAAATCTAATACCTGTTTGGCATATCTATGTAATAACCATCCTAATGGCACCTTAAACTGAATGTACCAACTTGCATTCCTCCTCTTGTTCCTCTGAAACTAGCATTTCCTTTTGAGAATCTTATTTCTAAGATTGGAAATCTGAGCTAGTTTTGATTTTTCCTTTCCTGAAACCCTGTATCTAAACAGTTATCTTAAGCTTTCTGTCTTGATACCCTAATATCTGCTCCTTCCTTCCTATTCCTGCTTCTCCCTTTCTACTGACAGGTCCTTACCTCTATTTCTATAATACCCTCCTAACTGGTTTCCCAACTTCCAGTCTGCTCCCATTACAATCTAGCCTACTAACTATACATAGGTGAATCTTCCTAAATCACAGAAGCAATCATTTACTTTCACTCCCAAAATCTCCCTTTGTGAAATAGGATAAATATAAACTCATACTTGGCATCCGAGGTTCTCTACCATACAGCATGTCATTATGTTTTGAGGCCTACATATCACTCTCTATTCTTCAGTGCCCGAGGTTGCAAATGAGTGGCTCCACAAAGCCAGAGCTAAACCCACACAATGACTTTAAAAATGCTGAATTATCTGCTTATTTCAAATTAGTTGCTAACATTTATACACTGGAAGGTTTCATATAAAAATCTAGATTCTGGCTTCTCATGAAAAGATGAAATATCTGGCAACTTTGGACTTACATGGCACAAAGGGCTGAAGCTAGGCAGCCAGTGCCCTTTTATATGGAGAAACATGCCCTAGTTCACCACAGCCTTGACCTGATGGGTGTCACTCAATCTGGTACGGGCTTGGTGCTTGCAGACATGTGATTTATGGTGCTTGCTCCAGCCAAGTGCATCATTTCCCAAATGCATAGTATATCTTTACTTGTGTTTTTCCCATCTTTCTAGAAATGCCCTCTCTCTCCATTTTTCCTGTCTTTAAGGCCCATTTCAAACACCACATCTTCCATGATGCTTTCTCTGACGATCCCTGCTGGGTGTTACTACCCCATTTCTGAAACTCTCTTCCACCCTGTGGTTCCTTTGCAGGTTGTAGCCCACCCTCCTCGGGATCACAGTCATTGGTATTCTTGTTTGCTCCCTATTTCTCATACTTCTCTCCGCTCTCAGGCTTTCTCAAGTGGGGGTTTTCCTCTTGACCTAGACCTTTCTCCTCCTGCCCATGGAGATGGAGCAAGTCTCTCCCCACCTCCTTTCTCCTTGGGGATCTGCCTGTCTAGACAGTGAAGAGACCCTGCTCTTCTCAGCGGTAAAGGCCCTAATGCAGCATGTGAGCCTGAGGCCATCCGGCCTGTGTTGTTTGCCTGGTTCTGAAGGTCAGCATCAGGAGGCCTATTGTTGACACACATCTAAGGCAGGATGTCCATTCCAGGTTTTATCAGCAAATCAAGCTAGTATTTTCATCTTCATCTTCTTGAATACTTATCTCACAACTGTTTCCAAATCGAAGCAGGGAAACAGAGGGGTTCTTATTGACCCCCTTCTAACCCCAACAATAAATCTCATTCCCAATAAGGACTCCTTGAATCTGCAGCTGCTAGCAAAGTTTATTGCATAGACAGGCACTCAAAAACATTCATCAGATTGAATCAAAAGATATAATCAATGTCCATAAAATTAACGGAATATAATTTCTCTTATGCTTGTATTCCAATAAACTATAATTTAAATGTCTCTTTGTGATGTTAATAAAATACAAAGTATTCCACATATAAAATATTTATTTCCTATTTACATTTCCATTTTTTGTAAATCATTGTGCATCATGTTACATATTGGGAAAAAAAAGAAAAAGGAAATATAAACCTTAAAAATCGGTGAGGAAAGCATCACACTGTATGGTATTTATCAGCAGTCTCGTAGGTCTCGTTCCTTGTCCTTTTTTGATTTTCTGGCTGTTTCCTGACGAATGGTATTATATTCTAATATGGCCATCTTGGAGAGTCTCTGTAAGTACTGAGACGGTGCTCCAGTGAGAGGATCGCTGAAGCTAGAACCTGGGGATGTGGGGAATCAGCTATTAAAATTAAATTAAGCACACATAAATAACATTCTATAAAACACAGTGTAAGTGAAATATTTGTTCCACAAGTGACTTTTAAAAACTAATAGTTCTTCATATGACACATACTTTGAATTAGAAATGCCAGTGCTTACTTTCTAAAATGACTGTGATGGCAAGTCATGTCACAAAATATTAAGTAAGGAAAAAAAAAACAAATTTAATGCTTGTATTAAATTATGTAAAATTAAATCTGAGTCTGTAATATGCTACTGAAAACATGTGATGGCTGTGGAATTTATTCCAGGCACAATCTCCACAAAAAATTAACTCATTTCATACTTTACATGCTTATTAAGTTATTTTTTCTAAATAAAATCACTTATCATAAGTGCTAAGTGAAGTAACATAGTAAAATTGTAAAGTAAAATAAATTATTCCCTTAACTGAAACAGCATTAATCAAACTTCTATTATTGGGTGGTAATAATAATAATGATAGATAATATTTATTAAATGATCTTTGTCAAGTGCTTTACATCTATTTCATCTACATGTTATCTTGGATTACAGATTTTAAAAAGACGATTTAAGGAGGCTAAGTAACTTGCCCAAAGCCGCATGCCTAATATCCATCAGAAGCAGGATTCAAAACTGTTTATCAAACTCAAAGTTTCCATGTAATCACTACATATTGCCCCTAAATATGTAAATATGTATAAATACTTTTATTTATTTATTTATTTTTATAAAGATGACCGGTAAGGGGATCTTAACCCTTGACTTGGTGTTGTCAGCACCACGCTCAGCCAGTGAGCGAACCGGCCATCCCTATGTGGGATCCGAACCCGGGGCCTTGGTGTTATCAGCACCGCACTCTCCTGAGTGAGCCACGGGCCGGCCCCATATAAATACTTTTATTTAGAAACATACAAGGCTTAGAAGATAATCCAGTAACTCAAGTATTGCTTTAAAATACTACTATTTAACTTCACTTCAAATAATTTTAAGTGATAAAAAAATGACTATTCTCCAATGTGGTGGTTGTTTTGTTTTGTTTTGTTTATGGGTGTAACATGAGCGACAAGTTCAGAGAGAGAGTTGAGAATATGACCAGGACTCCTGTTCTTAGTGGGGCAATGGACCTGATACTTTAAAAGGCCCTCTGGCAACAAAATAACTAGATTCTAGACATTAAGCAAACCTGAAAAAACTTCCAAGAATTCGTATCATACAGACAAAGGCAATTAAGTTAGAAGTTGTTAACAATAAGATAAATTAAAAATTCTCAAATATTTAGAAATTTATACACACATTATAAATTTTTCATTAGTCAAAAAGAAATCATAACGAGCATTAAAAGTACTTGTAACTAAATGATAAAGAAAATATCACAAAACTTGTTAATACAGCAAAAGTTGTACATAGATTTATAACCTAAAATTCCTATGTAAGAAAAGAAGTTTGAAAATGTATAAGCTATAAGATATACATTAGGAAAAGAGTAAATCCAAATAACACAGGGAAAAAAGATAGTACAGGAAAGAAATCAATGAAGTAGAAAACAAAGTTACAATAAAGAAGGGTTTTTTTAAAAAAAGACAAAATTTCTTCACTGGAAAGACTAATAAAAAAGAAAAGCCTCTGGTGAGATTAATCAAGAAAAAAAGAAAGAAGGCATATAATATTAAGAAAAGGCGAACAGGATTACAGATAGAAAAAATACTAAACTTTATGCCAATAAATTTTAAAACTTCTACAAAAATTTCTAGAAAACATAACTTACCAAAACTGACTGAAGAATTAGAATGCTTTAAGAGTCCTAAAATTAAAATGACTGAATCAATATTAAAAGATTCTTCCAAAGAAAACAAGTAACCCAACTGACTTTACAAATGAATTCTGCTAGACTTTCAAGGGAGAGATCATCCCAATTTTAGGTCATATCTTTCAGAGAATAGAAAGAAAGGGACTACTCTCCAATTCACTCCATGAGGCCACTATAATCTTGACACTGAATCGAGACAAGGACAAAACAGAAAGAAAAATTAGTGGCAATCTCACTCACTAACATAAATCAAAAATCCCAAATGACATATTAGCAAATTAAATATGACAGTACATAAAAAAGGCAATAAATCATTCCTAGATTGGGTGTATCTCAGGAGTGCAAGAGTACCTTAACATTCCAAAATATACAAATGTTATTCTTCACATTAAAAATTTAAACAAAAAAATTATATGATTACTTTAACCAATTAAGGAAAATTATATGATAAAATTCAACTTCAGCTTATATTTTTAAAAATTCTTAGCAAATTAAAGTTAAAGGGGACTTCGTTAACTTCATAAAGGATAGCTACTCAAAACCTATAGTGAACATCATTCTTAATGAGAAAACATTAAAGGCATACCCTTTAAAACCAGAAACAAGTCAAATATGCCTACTACTCATTTATATTCAGCATTGTATTTGTGGTTCTAGCCAGCTTAGTAAGATAAAAAAATAAATAAAGGTATAGGATTTATAAAGGAAGGAATAAAATTGACATTATTTACAGATGATTATGATAATCTACATAGACAATCCAAAATAATCTATATATTGATTACAAGAAATAGACTTTAGCAAGGTGAATAGCTATAAGATCAAATTGCAAAAACTAACTACATTTCCAAATACCTGTAGTAGAAAGTTAGAAATTGTAATTTAAAAAGAATTGTGGTAGATTACTAATCAACCTCCCAAAACTGTTTCCTCCTTCCATAACAGAATTTTAACTGGGCACATGGTCATCCAGGTATAGATTACATTTCTCAGCTTGTTTTAGAGCTAAGCATAGCCTTGTTACTAAGTTACTTAACAGAAATAAATTTCTATTGTTTATAAGCTACCAAGTTTATAGTATGCTGTTATAGCAGCCCAAACAGACTAAAACACTTGGATCATTTTTAGGTCTCCTTCTGTTGTCTGTTTCTTCTCTTGGTTTTTGTCACTCTTCTGTGTCTGGTAGGTTTTGATTATATGCTAGACACTGTGTATAAAAACCCGTGAGAGTCTGGTTCATCTTATAGTCCTCCAGAGAGAATTTGATTTTCTTCTGGAAGGCAGGTCACTGTAATCCAGTCAAGACTGGGTTTTAGTTTTTTTAAAAAAGCCAGTCTATTCTTGGCATGCCTTTATTTATAGTGTGTAGCCCTTCAGAAGTTTCAGCTGAAAGCCTGGGTTGTTTATCAAAGGGACTCTGTCTTGGCAGGCCTTAAACTCCTACCTCTGTCTCCACAGCAAATGCTGAGTTACTGAAATCTCTACTCAGTTCGATAGCCTTCTAGAAGCTGTTTTCTGCTTGATTTCCTTATATATTGACTAGTACACAACCACTTGGGAATAGACAAACACTTGGAGAAGAAATTTCTCACAGAACGGATTTTGAGCTCACTTCTCTTTGGTCATTCCTCCAGAATCCTAGCCTCTCAAGTCCTGTCTGCTGGTAAAGTTGGCCTGAAATAAGTTATTCTGTTATACCTAGAGGTGGAAGTTCTCAGGATCATTCTTTAAAAGGTATAACTATTGAAATAGATGACAGCTACCACAGTGATCTTTTTAAAACACATTAAAATCACCCTTTTGTTAAAATCATGCCATAGCCCTTCATTTCATCAGAGTTAAATACAAAGTACTGTCTAAGGCCCTATGTGATCAAACAGTCCATTATTTCTCTTTCCTCATCTTCTACTGTTTAGCCACACTGGACTCCTGATGTTCTTCCAACACACCAGGCACCATCCTGCCTTGGGCACCGAGAGAATAACTTAAATCCCTCAACTCTTTCAAGTCTTTGCTCAAATATTACCCTTTCAGTTAAATCTACTCCGGTTGCCCTATTTAAAACTGCAAATCACCCTTCTCTACCCAGATCTCCCGATTTCCCTTACCTGGCTCTATTTTTTGTTGCTGTTGTTGCTATTGCACTTACCTTCTAATATACTACACAATGGACTTATTTGTTATATTTAGTGTGTGCTGGCTACGTTCTCTCACTAGAATGTAAGCTCTTCTAGGGCAAGGATCTTTGTTTCGTTCAGTGATATACCCAAAGCCCAAGCACCTAAGACAATGCCTGGCACATAGTAGATATTCAATTCATATTTGGTGAATAACTAAATGAACTGCTTTCTTGTATGACTCTGAAGGGAAAAATATTTCAACATATATTTACTGAAGACTCAATTTGTTGCAGAAACTGGTGTAAGCACTACAGAGATACAAAGGTTAATAAGACACAGTACCCACCCTGAAAGCCATAAAGTTGGCCTATTAGAAAATAGGCAGGCAAATATTCATTTGGACCAAGATGCAAACAAATGTATTTTGTTCTAATTGACATTTATGTTTTTAGTTTATGCTGCCTATTGATTACAGAAGCTGTTTATAATATATGGAAATTCAGAGAAAGGAAATATACAAGGAAAAGTTCATGAACATTTAACCTTATGAACTTCCATAGACTGAACTTGCAAAGATTCTAACAAGTCAATTATGGTTGCTACCAACAATGTCAACAGAGGCCTTACTTAGTAATTTTAGGTTTTGTTGTTTGTTGGGAGGTGTGCTATTAACTCCATTAGTCCATACATGCAAAATCATGGAAGTGATGAATGTATTAGAAGAAAGAATGTATTAGATGAATGTTTTAGATTGTATTAAAAAATCTTAAACTTGGGCCGGCCCGGTGGCGCACTGGAGAAGTGCACCGCTTGGGAGCGCGGCGGCGCTCCCGCTGAGGGTTCGGATCCCATGTGGAGACCAGTTCCCGCTCACTGGCTGAGCGTGGTGCGGGCGCAACACCGAGGGTTGCGATCCCATTGCCGGTCCCCGGTACAGGCGCAAAAAGGAAAAAAAAAAAAATCTTAAACTAGTAAGGAAATATTTGTTGCACATAGTAAAGGGTGAATCATTTGATAGTCCGAAGGACAAATAACAAATAACATATAA